AGGGGATTGCTTGCGAGCGAATCCAAGGGAATTAAGTTGCAATAAGGGGAAGGACTACCGATGAAGATAATGAGAGGAAACTCAGAACTCTGCATCAAGGGATAGCTCATTCCATTGACAAACATAAAGGATAGACATATAAGAATAAGAATGAGTAACATCTCATAACCTCGCATGCTACCATGCGACAATACCATTGTGCATTGACTAGTCTAAGGATCTAAGAGATGTAAAGTTTGTATTTCCAAATAAGTGAGCAGTTATTGATTATTTTCTAGAATAAGCCTGCTAATTGTAAAGCTGTAAAGCTGAATTGTAAGCTGTATCCCGTCGCAATACATGAAGAACGCAATCCTTCCACTCTACCCAGATGTGGAAGACAAATCTTTAAAGAGAGTGCTTCTCAAAGCTGACAGCGGCCCAGGAAGAATGAACATTGAGATGCAGGCGGACCTTCGATTGCAGGGAGTGTACATCACTCCAGGTGTTCCAAACTCGACCAGTATCACCCAAGAGACTGATCAGAATTACGGCATATATAAGAGTTGTTTCCGTGAAAACCTGAGATCCATTTCGCAAGCAAGATTTGACATTGGCGAGACGCTTCAAGTGTCAGACTTACCACTGATGGTCTTTGGCGGCAAGTGTCCATCCACAAATGTCCAGCTTAGGGATTCATTCTCTGCAGCTTTCAGTATTGCAAGAAACGTCTCTGTCTGGAAGAAATGCGGGGCAGTTCCACTGACAAGAGAACCATTGTTTCTTGCCTCTCTCCGACACGAAGTTCCCGACGAACGAGCGGGATCTGTTGCTGCAGCTGCTGGCGAAGACATTGATCCAGAAGCAGAGAAGCTCCGGCGAATTGAAGAGTTGAATCATTTCTTTTGTGACAGTCTTGCTGCCAATGGAATGAATGGTGAAAAGCTCAAGCGGAATGCTCCCAAGTGATCCACCTTCGTCAAGGTGACTCAGCCCCATTCCAAGGAACGTATCAAGGCAATCAAAGATGCGAAGACTGCAGGGCAGATGTTTTACGCCACAGGAGGAAGGCACATGAACACCGATGAATTCTTCCAAGCCCGTGAGCTCTCTGCAAGACAGGACAGGATCAAAGTCCTCCAGGACGACAAGAAGGCAAGGACGTCTGCCTATGAGGCGGCGGTGGCTTCCAAGGCCTTGATTGAACAGAAGGGAGAGCTCCAAGCCGATGGAAAAGGATTTGTTGTTGCTGATCTCAAAATCTTGGCAAAATGGAAGAAGATTACTCCACTACCATCCAAGAAAGCAGACCTCATAGTGGCTGTTCGCATGGCACCACCACCGCTTCCAGTCCGCCAGTGGACAGATGATGAAGAGAGGGAGTTGGTGGATCTCAAGTCTGAAGAGATTCCAGTCAAAGATACCGCGCTTGGAGTTGCGGCAAGTCAAATGGCAAGGGCCGTCACCAACAATATGGCTAATTTGGATCCCTCTTTGAGGGCTGCACTCAAAGCTGCTATCCAGGCGTCGGAGTATGGTGAACCTACCACTACTCCTGAGGTTGCGAGGGCTGCGGAAGGTCCGTAAGGGCTCCGAAAAGCCGTCGTTTTCACCATTGTCGAAGTTTTCTTCTTTGTTGTTTTGTGTTGTTCTGCCGTGGAACAGAGCCAGTCACTAGGATATGGGATCGATTTGGACTCAGTCACTAGAAAATAAGACTAATCTCAGTTAACCCACTAAGAGTTGACTTAAGGATTTTACACCCCATTTTCCAACGGTAGAAACGAGCCATCGGCTGCTTAGGATTTTGTACCAGGGCTACGGGTAAAGCTCATAACTACTAGTAAACTAGTAGGTCAGAGATTAGCCCCATCACGATCTGAATTGATGGCCAGGTCGGTCCAGGTTGGTGGTCTTGGTGGTGGTGAATCATCACTTCTTTCCACCGTACTTGGTGGTAAACGAGCTCATGCATCATTAGGAGCAACACATGCATCATCAGGAGCAACACGTCCTGAATCTTCGAAGAGAAGGCGAAAATCTCCGGCGAAGCAGCAACCAAGGATTCCGGCTTCACGACCAAGAGCTATGCAAACAACAACACAATGGCTGAAGCTCATCAAAAGGCGCACGGTTCAAAAGAGGATGCCAGTGCCTTCTTTGAAACACTAGCAACAGATAACAATACAGCAGCCGCAGTCGGTTCTCCGCCTCGGCAACAACAAGAGAGAAACCCAAACCAAGCCCAGCAGCCAGAGGTGGCAAACAATGAAGACGAAGAAATGCAGCAGCTTGGGCAAAATCATGACAACAACAACGATTTTTCCACTGATTTGGTCGGTGATAGTGACCTATCCGAGGGAAGCTCTGACAAGGACCTTGATTCTGCCGAATATGGAGGAGGTGAGGGGCTTGACGGCAATGTAGTCGCTGGAGAGGATGATTGGAACAACGATGGTTTTCTAAACCAAGACATCAACACAAGCATGAGAGCAAAGTTCAAATCCTATTGTAAAGAACAAGCGACCAATGGCCTGCCATTCCTTACCAAGGAGCAGATTCGTGGTATCCAGCTATTAGACATCTTGAAGAGGAAGAAGGCGCCATTGGATACCTACGACGAGCTTATGTTATGGTACCACCGGAGCAATGGGAATCTGGAAGCAAATGAAACACTACAAAATGTCGACAAAATGGACCATATTGGACGAGGAAGTCTCATAAAAGTGCTCAAGAAACGTTACAACATGGACGATCGATTTGCCACCAAAAAAGCCTTGCTTCTACCACACAGTCAACAGAATCTTGAGCTTGTTTGTCATGATGCATGGGGGTGCATCGAGTCACTGCTTACGGATCCACGAGTAACAGATGATGATTATTTGTTTTTCGACAATGATCCAACAGCTGAGCCCCCGGAAACAATTGGTTCCTATGCAGATTTGAACACCGGAAAAGGATATCGGGAAGGCAGTCATAGACTATCCACAGGAAAGGGAGACTCAAACAGGAAACTGTTGCTACTACCGCCGGGTATTGTGATTTGGTAACCATTGAGCGATGGATTGGCCCCACCCGACCTACCTGAGGAGCAATGAAAGCAAGCCGTGGCGGTCCAATGGTGACTGCGCGTATATCAAGTCATGGCTCTTGGTATTCACACACGGAAGTACAGAGATCAAGACCAGGCCTGGAGAGTGTTGGGTTTTGTTGCCTCCGCCAAGAAAGCAAAGGCCAAGGGGGGGAAAATTCTGAAGCAATCAGGTCATGTTGCTGCCCAGCAAGCTACTAGTAGTAGTAGTAGTACGGCATTGGAAGAAGATGATGACGACGAGGAAGAAAGCAAAAAGGTGGCTGATGATCAAGGCAAGCCAGCTGATTTTCATGCCATGTTGGATGTGATTCTAGAGAGTTTGGTTGATGTTCAGAAGCGTGGTTTCGTCTGGGATTTGCGATATCTGATCACGAGGAAGGTCAGCCACTTAGCAATTTGTCTGGCAGTTGGCTTTCTGCCGAAATTACACAGTGCACATGACAAACACCTTCTGAATTGAAGAACGTAGGCAGAAAGCTGGCTGCCTGACAAGTTGCTAAGTGGCTTGCTTTCGTCCTGATTCTAGATTTCTGTTCTGTGCTGGAATCCAAGCTTCACCTTCTGAATTGGGGGAAAAGGTCCATATTGCTACCTTGGACATAATCCTTTGTAAGACGAGACCATGTCTATGTCAAATTTTGACCTACTACTGTTTGCCCCTTATTATCTTGACCAAAGGTCATATCAGGCTTCTTAGACGTACCACGAAGACGAAGACACCCACCACAACCATCGTCGCAAGCAAACCTCCCAACCTGACGTGAGCGATCTGTCCGATTCGCAAGGTGCTGCATCCAAATCTACAAGTTCCCGGCACCAATCGGGATCCAACAGACGACAGTCCTCAACCGCCCGTTCCAAAAAAGGGAAGAAAAGCCGTACGGAGCGTGAACAAACTGTACCTGGTCCAGCCGGCGAGCCCCTTGACGAATCATCACACTTTGCTAGAGATCGACATCGCCTCGAACAAGCCAACCGCAACATGCCTCCTGCTGATTCCACAAGAAAGAAGAAGAGTTCTTCCAGCAATGGAGGATCTTCCATTGGTGGCAAGTCCCGTTCGGAACAGAAGAGAAGTGGAAAAGAGACAAGGAAGAGCGACAAGAGCAAGAAACAACAAGAAGAACAACTCATGGACCGTGAGCTTTCCACTGATGAGAGAGGATGATGAGGATGAATTCCACGATTCTACAGCGATTCTTTCCACTCCATCCAAAAAGGAGTTCAGAAGTAAAAAACACCAAGGAACAGATGCAAAGAGTACTACAACAAACTTC